TCCAGCTCCAGCACCCATGTCGGGGTCAGAAGGGGCTGGGGGTTCCCATGGGGGGCTGGGAAGGGAGACAGCAGGCAGGACCTGTTGGGTTTCAGAACAAGACCCTCCCGATCGAGGACACAACCGACTGCCTGAGCACCATGGCCTGCGTCTGCAGGGTGATGCTGGAGACCCCGTGAGTACCCCGCATGGGGTGGGGGGACATCTTGGTGCCGAGGTCCCTCTGCCACCCCATCACCCCCCCACGAGGCTCAGCCAACCCCTCTCCCGACACAGGGAATACCGGAGCCGCTTCACCAACACCGAGACCCTCCTCTTCTGCATGAGGGTGATGGTCGGTGTCATCATCCTCTACGACCACGTCCACCCCGTAGGGGCCTTTGCAAAGACCTCCAAGATTGACGTGAGTGGCCGTGGGGTGCGTTGGGGAGGTCACAGCCATCACACTCATCCCAGTGGAGCTGTGATGCTGGGGGGTCCCTCTCCCTGGATGTCCCCCATGGGGATGTCTCTGTCTGAGCTGGTCCAGACAGAGGAACTCATCCCCTCCAGCAGTGAGGAGGAGGATGGGGATGAAGGGGACAGCCCCTCTCAAAGCCTCTCTCACTCCCCCCACCAGATGAAAGGCTGCATCAAAGTCTTGAAAGATCAACCCTCAACCAGCACCGAGGGGCTCCTGAACGCTCTGAGGTGAGCCAGGGGACACAGTGGGGGACATGGCATCCCCTGACAGTGCTGTGGGATGGCAGCAGAGCGGGTTGGGGTGCTGTGGGGTAACTGTCCCCTCCCTGTCCAGATACACCACTCGGCACCTCAATGATGACACCACGTCCAAACAGATCCGGGCTCTGCTGCAGTGAGTGTGGGGCGGCCACCAGAGCCAGCCCTGACCCCACACACTGTCACCGTGTCACCGACGCCCATGACCATACCGCTCATTTTGTACAGAGGGAAAACAGGAAATACACAGAGATAAATAATAATAACTTAAAAAGATCAAAATGGCCCCAGGCCACCCCCGACGTGCTCCTGTCCCCCCTTAATACCCCCACCCAAATCAGCACCCACTTCTGGACACGAGGTGTGGGTGACACTGTGGGGACACTGCACCAGGGGTGCTGGGGCCAGGCAGGATGGACCCAGGTGGGGATGTGCTGATGGGGCCAGAGGCAGCGAATGCATTTTGGGGAGAGGGGAAAGGGACAAGTGTCACCCCCCATCCCTGTCCCCAAGCATCCAGCTGCGGAGGAGAAGGAACGAACATCCCCGCAGACCTGCACTGACGCTGGTGGAAAGGGCAGATTTTTAATCTGAGCAATTCTCTCTTCAATCTCCACTCACCTCTTCTTTTCTACATTTTCTTTTTGTTTTTGGATGTGAAATAAAATGACATTTAATCTCTTCGTGGCCGGAGGGGGGCTGTCTCTGCTTTG